CTGAACACCAGCAGCGGGCCCGCCAACCTCTTGATCGAGGCCAACACCGGCGGGGGCAGCGACGGGGAGGTGATCTGCTTCTACGGCTTTCAAAATCTATCGGACGAGAGCCTCAAGACGAACCTGCGCCCCGTATCGGCGGAGGAGGCCCAGCAATGCTTCGACAGAGTCGAAGCAACGTTCTACGACCGGCTGGACGGGCCGGCGAACCAGGTAGGCTTTGTGGCCCAGCATGTGGAGGCATCGGGGGCCTCTGCAAGCTGAAGCGCTTTGATGACCGGGAGCTCATGACCCTGGACTACCAGCGCATGACTGCGGTCCTCTGGCAGGTTTGCAAGGGCTTGCAGAAGAGGGTCGAGAACTTGGAGAAGAAGACTAAGAAGCGAGGCAGGTCTTCTTCTTAAAATGGCGGAGGACAATGCGATGGAGCTTCTCGGGCAGCTGGCGCGGGATTTCAACGTGAGGGACTCGCGGAAGCTGTACCAGATCGCCCGGCGGGAATTTCCGGAGCGGCGGGACCTGACCACGGCAAGGGCTCAGGCAGCCCTGCGCGGCGACGTGGCCAGGCAGGTGCTGGCGCCGAAGCCGAGGAGTCTGGGAAAGTCTGCGGCAGAAGGGCCCAACGACCGGTTGCAGGCGGACCTGATCGACTTCTCCCAGAACACTCGCAGCCGGAATAAGTTCGGCCTCGTGGTCACGGACGTGTTCACCAGGGAGGTGGCCACGAAGGCGTTGCCCGACAAGCGGGCGGAGACGGTGACGCGGGCAGCGGCGGAGATCATCCCTGATCTGGTCCAGGAGGAGGGCAACTACGTCGTGACGACGGATCAGGGTACCGGGGGTGTGGTGCATCGGCAGAAGGACCCGAGCGACCGCAACGCCATGGCCGTTGTCGACCGGGCCATCCAGACACTGAAGAAGGATCTGGCGGGCAAGGTGGCCCGGGACGGTGGCGGATGGGGCGAGCACGTGGAGAACGTGACGGAAGCCTACAACGCCCGACCGCACCAGGCGGTACACGCGGCGCTCGAGGACGTGGAGACGCAGCCGGCGACAACGTTCCGGGTCTATCAAGACAATGCAACCAAATTCCAGCGCAACAAGGAGCTCACGGAAGGTCGCAAACGCCGAT